TAAAATGATGCTCACAAATGACACCACCTTTCAACCTTTTTACCAGTTCTTAAACTAATGGTTCCTCCCATGGCATTTTCTACTTCTCTGCTGGGTTCTGTAATCCACTGTATCACAGAAAACACTCACAGTTATGGGTTATTAGGGAAGTAACTAGTTACAAAGCAGGTTCCGGAATGCTTAGGATACAGTTTTTTGTTTTTTTATTAGAACAGAATCTTCTTGGATATGCCTACATGTGAGCCCAAGCCCTCAGCCTCTTAGCCACATGGGCCTTTGACCTCCGCCATACTTGAGTATAACAAAAAATATTTTAGTTCTGTTGAGTGCCCCAAAGCACCCTGTTCCATCAGTAAGCCTGTGCCAAAAGGTGCTTTGCTCTCTCTCCACGGGTCAGCACTCTTAGCTCCCCACAGCACTTGAGTAAGTGGTTATGCTCAATCCATTTTTATGGCAAGTCTTCTGCCCAAAGGCACTCCGACTTCTCATTCAGCTAGCTGAAAAGCCTGCCTCTGTGTTTCATCAGCTTGTTTATCTTCTTGTCAGCTACTTCTGCTGCCAACACTTCTCTGACACAGCTGCTTGCCATCTCTTGCTACCTCTGGTGTCACAGTTACCTACCTGTCCATTGGATTGAGGAGGTTCAGCCGAGGAATCTTGGACTTAAAGGATTCTTTCTTGATGGTTGTGAAATCCCCATGTTTGCCTCTAGGATGATTGATTTTAAACCTAGTGAGATAGCAAAATTGGCTAATTCCCACAGTAGGGCTATGTATATCATATGTGCTTGGTCCTTTTGCCGAGATTATCACTGCCCCTGGCTGAACTCTGCAAAGGAGAGTTCTTGCCTTTGACTGACCTGACCACGAATGGTCAGGATAGGCACAGAATTTCCATACAAGCAAATTTCTATTAGAGAAGAGACAAGGGGCCCTAAGCAACATTTCCCCTCACCTCCCTGAGGCTAGTGGGGCTTCACTTGCAATAGGGAGGTTCTATATATTCATTAAAGTTAAAGGAAACGATGAACTCTTTTTTGGAATAGGCTTGGTTATGCTAATAGGGTGTGCATGTTGTTGTCTTCAAAGATGAATACTGTTTGCAATGGATCTGGCATCAGAGGGAAGAGTGTTGCATCTGCTTCCTGTAGTTCTTCGTGGACCAGTCCCTTTTCTGTATGACGGCCCACAGACAGACCTGTACTTCTTGAAAAATACCTTTTAGAAGGGTTTGCATACCCAATTTTCTCATTTGTTTCAGTATTTGGATTTTAGCAGGCCTTGTGGCTTTAAGCTACTTTGCATTTTGATATTCAGTGTTGCTTGCCTACAAGTTCTACCTGTCTGCCATTCTTCCCTGAATGATTTCTAATGTGATTTAATTTGTCAGCCCCCAAGGAGTTCTTGGGATCTCTCTGATGATTTAGCAAAGGGGTCTTGGCGTGTCTTTCTTCCTCAATCCCGTCCCACAAGGGTACCATACCCCTTATTTACATTATTATCAGTCTATATTAGGGGTCAGAAAACTTTTGAGATAGAAGAGAAAACCCTGTCCCTCACAACAGTTAAAAATTATGTTAAAGCCATAAATACATTTATACAAATAAGGAAAATTTAAAGTAATGTTATAAATTAAACTATGATAATTTTATTTTCATTTTCAACTTTACTTCAGAGCCACATGTATGTACTGAAAGAGCCTCATATGGTTCCTGACCCCCAATTTGTCAACCCTTCTCCATAAGAAGAAAGATGAGGCTTTCTAGTGCTGTAAAGAGTTACAATCTCTGAAACTCCCAGGGGCAGTTCTACTCTGTCATATACTGTGATTATGAATTGAAATTGATGTGATGGCAATTAGTTTGGTTTTGAGTTCTATACAATACCTTTGTTGGGACCCAAACACCTCACATTTGCATATTCCTACCTGTTCGTTTGGTGGGAGTTACAAAGACCAAGACTAAAAGAGGCATATCAAGTAATTTGTTGAATCGCAGAGAGACTCATTTACAAAGTGGAAACTGCTTATGTTATGACAACATAGGAGAAGGAATAAGTAACTTTACTTGAAGAATCAAGAAAGGCTTGAGCAAAACATTAATATTTGATCTGATTTTGCAGGATGAGAAACAATTATCAGATGAAGAAATAAGAAGGCCTGAAAGAAAACCAGGATTAATCATTAGGAAAGGCAAAGTTTCCAGAAATATAAATAAATAAATAAATACCTTCCTTTTCACAAATTTGCCTCTTACAAATGTAATGCACAGCCCCTTTAGTGTAGTGTGTTAGGCAGGGTTCTCTAGATAAACTAAACCAGTACACTTATGATGTATAGATAGATAAGTTTATATAGTGAGAAGGAATATAAGCTTATTAGTACCCACAGCAGTTCAGAGGGCTCAGTTCAACTTACTTTTATGGAACAGGTAATATACTGAAGGTCCTTCAACTCACTCAGGCTGCCAGTCCAAGATCAAGGAAGCAGGCAGTGGAGTCTGCCCTCAGGCAAGAAAGGCAGAGTTGGCCTCCAGGCAGCAGACAGCAGCTTGGGGCAGCAACAGTCAGCAGCTCAGGAGCATAGTGGAGCAGGCCCTAGTGCAGGAGTCTCAAGCTCTAGTGCTGTATTCACAGCTACAAGATCCACCAACAGTGTGTTAATTCAGGTCTCAAAGGAGTCTCAGGCTCTATAGATGCACTGCAAGGTGACACAATCCACGGGTTGGCTCAGCCCCACAGGCCGTGTAGCACATGGTTGATGGGAAGCAGCAGCACACTGGTCTGATCACTAAGGAGAACGAGAGATGGGAGGCTGGCCTCAGAGGGCATTTATCTCAGTCGCTCTCCAATTAAGCTGCGAACCTGACTAAACGCTACCCAAATGGTCCTAAAGAGGCCTAGTTGGCACAATACACATAACTATCACATGTACATTGTATTTTTCAAAGAGCCCCTAAACCAATTGCTTTGGCTAAATTTATCATTTTAAAATATCAGATCCCAAAGTTTATTTCTATTTCAGGGCACTTGGATTTGGGGGTTACGGTTATCTTTGGCAGAACAGTATGAGATACAGGCAAGGTATTGACTTATAAATTATATTACATTTCTTAATTTGGTTAAATAATTAATTTCTTCTTAAATTTATTTAATATAACCACCATTCTGCTAAATGAAGAGATTGAGAAAATATGCAAGACACTGCAGCTTGTCAGTACATCTGCTGGGATGGAAAAGTTCTTCCAAATGCATCATGGTATCTGGGGTGTCCTGTGATTGCCACTATATTTGCGATGAATTTGGAGTCATGTTCCTAGTATTTTTGTTGTTTTGGGTTTGTGGAGTTATTGTTATTATAACATAACTTTTTATTTGTTTTATTTGCTATTATATCTTGCTCACATTGTGCTTCACAAATATTAAGATGTCCAATCTGTTTTTTGTTATGCTTTGTTCGATACTGCTGTTTTGTTTTAATTTTGGAGGGAGGTGATGTTGTATGAAATTTCACCCAGCAAACTTTATATCCTCCATTTGTATTTATATAATTGATTTTCTGAAGATGTGTGCTTTATGGTTATTGCACTGTATCATGTTTACTTTTGACTCTACATTCTTTCATCAAAGGTTGTAGCCGCCAGACTCATCATTCCACCCATAACACCCAGAGGGCAAATTTACAGGTCTACCTGTGATTTTGAGGTCTGAATAATTATATCCCAGTGATGATTTCTAAATGCACATCAGCCCCAGGAACTTATCTAGCTAACAGTGGTGTCCTGCCCTTTGGAATGAAGCCTTAAATCATCTTATGAGCCCCTCAGTTGTTTTACTGTTGAGAGGAATGTGTATTTGCTTAACTTAAATTGCTTACTGATCATGTGCCCATGTGCTTTTTGTCAAAAGGGTTCCCTTTTTACCCACCTGACTCCCACTTTTCCTAGTAAATGCAACTCAAGGACTTCCTCCTGAGCTGTTATCTTGAACTGAAAAAGTAGCCTCTTCCTTGACTCTCCATAGTATCCTGTACTTTACAGACTATCCTGAGATGGCAAATGAATTGGTTTGTTTATGCAATGATATTGCAGGGATTATACATTTCTGGGGCAGGGATTATACCTGATTCAATTGTTTCCTTTTTATGCTCACCACAAGTGTTCCTGGGTGGGGCAAATAGTTAAGCACATGATGACCAATCTATTGATGGTTCAAATTCACTCAAAGGAGTCTCAGAAGAAAGCCCCAGTGGTCTGCTTCCAAAAAGGTCATGATCTTGAAAACTCTATGGAGCACATACATGCACACTCTGTAGCACATAAGTCAGAATTGACATGACAGAAGCGGGTTTTGTTTGTTGTTGTTTTTTCATGACTGGCACATATGTTTTTAAAGATGAACTGAACCATGAGAAAATACTTGCTATTTCATCAATTTCAGATCCTAAACTCACCCACTAGCACTTGATTAGAGGAAAAATGTGTCCTGGGAGGTTACAGTGTTTGGGAGAGACAATATAGTACAGAGATAAACAACATATAGAGTACAGATGTTGAAATTGCGATTCTGCCACCTAGAAAAATGGCACCTCCATTCTTTCCATTCTTGACTTTACTCATTAGTAAAATAAGTAAATTAATGGCAGAAAGATGAGGCTTCCTAGTCCTGTAAAGAGTTACAGCCTTGGAAACCCACAGGGGCAGTTTTACCGTGTCCTATAAGGTCACTATGAATTGGAATTGACTCACTGGCAGAGAGTTTTTTTTTAGTTTACCCACTGGATGTGTGAAAATTAAGTAAAATATTACATGTCAAACGCTTGTAAAAATGTTCGGTATATATTAAGTACTAATAAGAGGTAGTGATTACTATGACATTGTGTGTGGGGGTGGGGTGGGGTGCTGGTAGTGGTAGTGATCAAACTGCATTTAGAATGGAAATTTGAATTGGATTTCACAGTGATCTGAATCCAGTTTCTTCCTTTTTCCTCCATCTAAGTCCCACATGGAGCAACACAACCACTCACGGCTGGTTGAATTTGTGCTCCTTGGCTTCCCCAACGTGGGACAGATCCGGGTATGGCTCTTTGTCGTGCTGCTGTTGGCTTACCTGTTCACTATCTGTGGCAACCTGCTCATCTTCTTAGTCATACGACTGGATGCAGCTCTACACACACCCATGTACCACTTTATAAGTGTGCTCTCCTTTTTGGAGGTGTGGTACACAGCCACCACCATCCCCAAAATGCTGGCCAATCTTGTCAGTGAGAAGAAAACCATCTCTTTTGCCGGATGCCTCCTCCAGACATACTTCTTCCACTCGCTAGGGGCCTCTGAGTGCTATCTTCTTACAGCCATGGCCTATGACAGATACCTAGCCATTTGCCGACCCCTCCACTACCCTGCAATCATGACCCCAACACTCTGTGCCAAGATGGCCGCTTGTTGCTGGACGTGTGGTTTCTTGTGTCCGATTTCTGAAGTCATTCTCGTCTCCCAACTCCCCTTCTGTGGCTACAATAAAATTCAACATATATTCTGTGACTTTCCACCTCTGTTGAGTCTAGCCTGCAAAGATACATCTGTTAATGTTGTGGTGGATTTTTCCATCAATTCCTTCATAATCCTTATCACTTTCCTCTTTATTATGACTTCTTATGGGAGGATTGTTGAAGCTGTGCTGAAGATAAAAACAGCAGCAGGAAGAAAAAAGGCCTTCTCCACGTGTGCCTCACATCTCATTGTGGTGCTCATCTTCTTTGGGTGCATCATCTTCATGTATGTGAGACTAAAGAAAAGCTATTCCCTGACTCTTGACCGCACACTGGCTGTAGTCTACTCTGTACTAACACCACTGGTCAACCCAATTATCTACAGTCTTCGTAACAAGGAACTCATTAGGGCCATCAAGAGGACTGTCTTCCACAAGGGGGGCAAAACGAGTCCTACTCACCATTAACCACATCTTACCACAATCATTCCTCCACTTTAATGTTGACTTCAAAAAGGTCATTGACTTGCCATTGAATAATGATCTCATCATCAAATAAGTTCTGGATCTTATTTCCTCTCACCATCTTAAACATTGTAGATTGACAGATAGATACATATATGTATCTATATGTGAGATTGTTAAAATTTATTATGCCAACCTGGCTGATAAACATATGTGGGGTTAATTGAAGGGCAGAGAGATAAATGGCTTGGTGAGCCTCGCCTTTCTCATTCTTGAAGCTCTTGCTTTCTGATGGTCAGACCAGGGTGCAGCTGCCTTAGCCAGTTCTGTGCTTTAGATTGCAAGGCTCACTTCCTGTGAGACATCCCTGAGGATAAGCCATATGGACCTACCCTGATGCAGCTCTGGGTGCTGGAGCAGCTGCATGGAGACAACTGCCAGCACTGAGGTGCCTACACATTCACTGATTCGGCTTTCCTCCTGCACTCCATGCCATTGCATGTGTTTTGTGAGATTGAGGAGGACTTTGTAGATCAGTGTTGAACATACGGGCTAATGTTGGACCTATGGTCTTGGACAGCACTGGGTTGGGATGCTTTCTTAATATACACTTACCCTTTATATAAAACTCTCTCTTATATACATATGAGTTTCTGTGGGTTTGTTTTTCTAGTCTACGCAGACAAAGATAATATGTATCTATATAGATAACTATACATACACATATGTATATAACATATATGTATATATATTACCAGTTTTATTGGCACTTCATCCACTTATCATGAAATTCAATAGTTCATTTTTATGTCATTCTTCTGTCTCCTATGTCTTTTATCCTTTCTTTTTTCACTTGATCAATGCTGTTTTCAGTATTTAATACTTTAGCATCTCCTTAAAAAACACTCATATTTTTGGTCACATATTCAAATTCAATTAGAACTTTAATTTTCTGTTCAATTATCTAATCAAATTTCTCAACATAACATCTGTCACAATCTGCCTTCTTTTCTTAACTTCCTACTCAACTTTCAGCCCATGTCATCTGACTTTGAACTGGACCTCTCAAACAAGTATAGATGCATTTGACAAATCCAATAGACTATTACTGTCCTAGTTTTTCTTGACCTCTTGATACTTAATCCCAGTCTTCTTTTTAAAAAATAGACTGCTTATTAGCTTCTATGATATAATTATCTCCTAATTTTCTCTTTAGCTCTCTTTTCAGTTTTTCTTGTCTTGTAGTACTAGCTCCCAATATTTTAAGTGTTATTATGCTACATAATTCTTATGTAAAAAATGCTTGAATTTTGTATCTTTATACCTAAGCTTTCGTCAGAGCTTTAAACTTATTTATCCAACTCTACAGTTACACTTAACATCCACATCTAGATATCTCCTAGAAATTTAAAATTTAGCATGTTGAAATGAAATATTCACAGTTCCAAGTCTACTAGCCAAATGTTTTATTTTCATATGCTTGGATAAGAATGTTTTAAATAATCTGCTTCATTTCCTATTTCTTCTGTCCCATTTTAAATCCATTATTAAGCTATGTAAATCCTTCCTCAAATATACTTTTCTTAAATGTATGTATTTCCTTTTTAAGTTTTTCTTATTTTATTTTGTGGAGACCATACAGAGTAAAACATAGTTTCTACACCTACAATTTAGTGATACTGGTTACATTCTTACAGCTGTACAACCATATGCACATCCTGTCATTAATAAACTCATTACCCCATAAAAAGTCGACCTAATCTTTCAAATATGTACTGTAATTTGATCCACATAGACTGGTGTTAAAATAGCGTAATGCTCCGGCAGCCAGGCTAACTTTAAGACAACTTCAGAAGACACTTTTGAGTGAAGAATAAAATATTTTAATATCATTCTAGGTAACTAAGTATATTTAAAGCAACACCCAAACTCGACAAATGGTAGTTTCATCAATACTTTAAAAAATACTACTACATTAAAATTAACTGGACTCTTTCACTTATAATGGATTTTTAGTAACAACACCTGGAAGATGTTGGTTCACTAAGTAATGCATTATGAATTACTTCTAAATGTCGACATATGACATTATTCAAAAAGTTCACAGGCCAATGTCACCATCTGTCTCCAACTGAAGAGAATCTGGTGGCAGGAAAGTGTTCTCCATAATCCTAATTTCTACATAGCAATGTACAGTTTCTTATGGCAATGAACACTTCCAGTTATTTGAAGTAACAGGCAGTTTGAGGAAATTCTGCTGACTGACTGTTTAAATAGCATCGCCTGTCTGTTGCTCGTTCTTTCACCAAAAATGGTCTGTGAATAAAGAGAGTAAGCCAGTTCACAACTCAATCCTACAAGTGTTTTCTGCAATTAAACCATCACAGTTGGGTTTGCAGCAAATCATATTAAATCTCCTTTCCATTTTGTCACATAGCTACTAAAATAATGTGTACTCTAGGATGAAGACTCAAAAGAATTAATGATTTTTATCTCTTCAAGAACATTCTTATGATTCTAAGTATCATTTTGATTTCACTCTTAGCTCAGTGAATTTGTAATTTGTATAGTTCTGCTAGGCCAGGTTGACTAGAGAAATAAATTCAGTGACACTCATATATGTGCAATAAAGAGCTTTATATCAAGAAGTGATTATATATATCAAGCAAATATCCCAGCCTAGTCCAGATCAAGTCCATAGTCTGATACTAGTCCATAAGACCCACTTCTGAGCCATGCAGTCACATGCAATGACACAGAATGCAGGAAGATAACAAGCCAGTGCATGCAAAATTGTATGGATCCAATGGTGTTGGCTCTGGCAGGTCTCATCAGAGTGGCTTGCCAGCAGGAAGGTGAAGGCAGGGAGATAGGTCTCTCAGGACCCTCCTTATGAGAAGGCCACGCCCACAATGAGGCACCATCCAGCCTACACTTTTATATATCTTAAAGTTGACATGAAATTAATTAACTACCACAATAGTGTTTGACTTTCGTGTATTTATTTAGCTTTTCTTATTCTTCTTGCTATTGACTGGCATTTTCATTCTGCTATGGTCAGATTAGATACTTTATATGGTTTCAATCTTTTTAAACTAACTGAAATTGACTTTGTGTCTGAAAACAGTCTACACCAAACACACGTGGAATGAAATAGAGTGTGTACTATGCTACTGTTGAGTGGTATGCCCTATGTATGTTAGGTCCAAATGGTTAATGTTATGCAGGTGTTCTGTTTCTTTATTCTCTTTTGAAACTGTTCCATCCAGCCTCAAAAAGTGGTGCATATAATGCCTCTGTCTCCTAGTAAATTTTGACTTAAAATGCCATATATTAACATTGCCATGTCTGTTCACTTTGTGCTACTGTGCACTTGTTATGTCAAGTGTCCCCCCATCTTTAATCTATTTATGCACCTTAAGGTGTACCCCTTGTCAAATAGATGTCATATTTGTAGTCCAGACTACCACTGCTTCTTGACTAGAATATTTAATCCGTTTATATTCACTGCAATTAATTATCAACAGAGAATTTACATGAAACCTTTTTTAAAACACCGCCCCCTTCTGGTGGGATAGATGGCTTCTTTGTTCTCTACTTTCAAAGCTGAGTTCTTTTTAGGAATACATTTTTCCTTCGTTATTATTATTATTACTATTAATTTTTATTACCGAATCACTTAGATTCCTTTTAATACCTAAAAATTATCTTATCTATACCAATCATCTCCATTTTATTTTTGTTAGATTACAATTTTGTAGTTCAGATCCCTCATTTCATTGTAAATTGACTTTATTATTTATATTCAAGTAGTTGTGTAGGGTCAACACTTTGGAGTATCATGTTTTCATTCCAGCTGTTCTTCCAACACAAATTTGTTCATTCTTTTAGCATTCAATATTCTTGACTAACACCTTAATTAAAATGCATTGACTGCTTTATGTGCTACCTTATTTATTGTCAGGCTTTTGCATATATTTGAAGTGATTTGAAGTAACATGGCTTGGGTCAGGTATACCTTAGTCTTTATATCATTGATCTTTAAACCTCTAAAGAGGTCCTGTGCAGCAGATATTCCCAATGCAATTTCTAGTTTGATTGATTAATTGCTGCTTCCATGACCAATGATTGTCAGTCCAAGCAAAATGAAATTCTTCACCTTAAACTTCTCTTCGTTTACCATCATGTTTATTAGTCGACTTGTGAGGATTTCTTTTCCTTAAATTGATTTCTAATCCATACTGAAAACTGTAGACATCAAGTGTTTTTCAAATTCTCTTCACTGTCAGCAAGCAATGTTTGTCATCTGCATATTGCACACTGTTAATGAATCTTCTTCTAATCCTGAACCTGTGTCTTTCTTCATATAGTCCAACTTCTCATATTACTTCCTCACTATACTAATTTAATAATTATGCTGAAATGCTTCAATTTCAATGTACACATTTCCTAATTTTAAATCATTCAGTCTCTCTTTGTTGTTTTCAAACCATGTATCTATAAACCAGTTACACATGAACAAAATGAATTGTTCTGGAATTCCCATTTTGCAACATTATCCAAAGTTTATTATGACCCAAGAGTTAAATGCCTTTACATGGTGAATAAAACACAAGTCAGTATCTTTCTGCTTCTCTATACTTTCAGGCAAAATCCACCGCATGCCAGCAATGACATTCCTCATTCCATGTTCTTTTCTTAATCAGACGGAATTTCTGGCAGCTCCTTATCAGTGTATGGCTGCAACCATTTTTAAATTATCTCCAGCAAAATTGTACTTGAATGTGTTAGTAATAATATTGTTCAGTAATTTTCACATTCTGTTGGGTGACATTTCTTTGGAATAGGTGCAATTATGGGTCTCTTACACTGTTTTTTCAGGGCAGGAGTCTTCCAAATTTCATAGCATAGACCTGTCAGGGTTTCCAGTATTGTTTCAGTTTCTCAAGTATTTCACTTGGTAGGCATCAATTTCTATGTCTCGTTTTAACTACTGTCTTCAA